AATAAAAAAAAAAAAAAAAAAGGAAATAACAAGTGTCTGCAATTTGGACATAATACACCACCATGTTCTCGGCTATAGAACATGTACAAGTCATCTGTATTTTATAACATCTTACATTGGATTGAGCCTGTTCAATGCACAGTACAGTTGAGGAACTTAGAATTATTTGGTCCTCTTTCTTATGTATTCTCCTTTTGGTTAACTCCCACCACAATGGTGATCTTTATAGAAAAGAGAAAAAACAGCAAGATATATAAAGATGGAATTACATCGACAAAAACATGAAAATACAAAAAATTAATACTCTAAAAACTCGCTCGATGACAATCATGGATCTATAACCTTGTATTCTCAATGGTTAATCAATTGCAGTACTCATACAGGTACAAATTACTCTGTGCTTCAATTCAATCGGAGTTGGACCCTTTATCAGCAGCATCATGCTGTCGGGGTTGGGCTTGAAGGTCATTCATCAATTCCTCATCTGATTCCTCACTTTTTCCAGCCAACTTTCTTTTCAGTATGGCTTCAAATATTGATGGGAATGCTTCTTCATCTCCTTCAAAGAACTTATCTATCTGCCTCTTCAGCGCTGCAATAATAGGACAAGAAATCAATTTTAGATATAAATTCCATCCTTGTTTCAACCATATGTCTGTAACTGAGACAATACCTAATGGGGAGGACCATTAACTGGGAAAGCTATGAGTTACATGTAAAGGTTGATATCTAACTAGTGCTAATTCACATAGGCGGAGCCAGGATTTGAACCTTATGGGTTCGGAATTGTAATCATGTTAAGTTACTGGGTTCTAAATTAATAATTAGTACATATTCAATGAATTTCTTAAGATAAATACATAATTTGAACAAAAGTTACTGAATTCGGCCGAACCCGCATCCCGTACTCAACCTACGCCCCTGCTAATTCACCTCAAACTAGTGTTAATGACAATTACTTCCAATAAAGAAAAAAAACTGAAGTCAAATATAAATATCAATACAATTAATCGAATAAAGTAATTTCTGCTTAGCCTTTATCCTCTTTACTCAATGCTTCAGTTGGAACTTCCATTTTTCTTTTGTCAATCCAGTTATTTTGGTAGAAATTTGACAACTTTACTCTCAAACAACTCATATTTCAAGATTTAGTAAACTCAAATTTTCCGGGAGAAGGGGAGGAAATTCAAAATGAAAACACGGAAGTGTTCCCAATAATGAAAGATGAATAGAGTCGTGAAAATCAAATTTTCTGACAATTGAAACACAAAATTACGATCTCGAAACAAGCTAAACTATTAACTTCTTTTTTGGAACTAATGAATCACCTTTATTGCTGATATCATCTTCATCGTGAAGGCTATTATCATTGCTATCACGAGTATGACCCGAGTTTGATCCAGCAAGAGGTTGATTAGGGCTTTTGGAAGAGAAAAGTCTATAGTTGGACCAAAATGAAGTGGTAGCAGGGCAAGGATTCGGCATTAACAAACTGCGCGAATAGAGGTAAACATTTCTTGCAACGGATGGTTTCATCTCGATCTTCTTCGCGTTAGGGTTTTTGTTCTTCAGCTTTTGCAAATTTCCTTACCGGTTCAACAGTTTAGTTTCTCGTTCGGTTCTTCACCAAAAATGAAGAATTTACATAGAAGGCCATTTGGATAAAAGCCCAATCTGATTGTGGCGCACGCAGATAAAAATTGCACGGGTCGCCCTATTTGATCGCCCCCATTTAACCTATATCTCACTTTTTTTTAAAGTTTTAATTTGTACCCATATTTTAAACAATTTCAGCCCCATTTTTCCTCTTCCTTCTCCTCCTTTGTTTTCTTTTTTTCTTCTTCTTCTTTCTTCTTCTACTGATGTTGGTGCTGCTATGAAACCTCAGTTCATGGGATAATTGTCATAAATATGTTTATTAGATTATTTAATAACAAATTATAAATAATTACGTAAGTTAGTAGACAATAATTTGTGAATATTTCCACGTACGTAAGTTAGTAGATAATGATAATTATGTTCTTTTAACATTTATTGTTTCCAAAATTTATGATTTAGATACTGTTGACAATCTAATTATTTATCTAATATGTTATATAGATTATAGTGCTGAAGTTTTTACAAATGAACTAAATAACTTCAGCATCTTCTGCTGAAGTTTTTGAAAAAACTTTTACGATAAAGCTAATGCATCCATGACAAAAAAAACTTCAGCTTTTAGTGCTGAAGTTTTTACAAATGAACTAAATAACTTCAGCATCTTTTGCTGAAGTTTTTGAAAAAGTTTTTCCATGACAAAAAAACGTCAGCTTATTTAGTGCTGAAGTTTTTATAAATGAACTAAATAACTTCAGCATCTTCTGCTGAAGTTTTTGAAAAAGCTTAATGACAAAACTAATAAATCAGGGACAAAAAAAACTTTAGCTTATTTAGTGCAATTACAAATAAAAACTTCAGCAAATAGAGAATAAAACTTCAGCCACTATGCTTAAGTTCAACAATTACAAACAAAAACTTCAGCAAATAGAGAACAAAACTTCAGCTACTATGCTTAAGTTCAGCAATTACGAACAAAAAGTTCAGCACACTTGCTACTTCAGGTCCGTCTACTAGAATGCTGAAGTTTTGCGTGATTGCCTTTGCTACTTTAGCCCCGTATGCTGAAGTTCGCGAAAAAGTGGATATGCTTGTAATATTTTTTGCAAAACGGGCACAAGCTAAAACGTAACCCAAAAAACGGGTATACATGCAAATCCCCCGCAGGCTGATTTCCGTAAATATCCCTTTTTGGGCGTTTAGATTGTGTTTTTATTTTTAAATATGGTGCAAATATAGCCTTGAATAATTATTTCTCCGACAATATTAGACTCAAGTAGAATATTTGCTCATATAATTTTCAGTTTGCTCACACAATATTAGGCTGTGGACTAGCATTTGCTATATCTTACAAAATTGTAGACGTGGTCTAACGTTTTCTCATAAGATTTTTAGTTTGCAAAACAGATATTTAGACCATAATTTAAAGATCCATTAATGATAAGATAAATAAAAAGAAAGTCAATGTATTTACTAAATAATTAATACGAAAAGGTACAACCAGTGAAAACTTCATTTCAACGCATGATAAGATGTAATATGTGATTTACCAATCGTTTATATTATTTGGGCCTAGATGTAATTAAAAGAAGAGTTAACACAATAGCTGTCCACCCAACTAATTAAACTAAAAATAATCGATGGAGGTATAATATATGCATAATTAATGTATTATATGTATGATTAATGTATAATATATGTATATGATTAGAAAAAGTAAACAATGAATATTGTCGACTATTTGTGTAAAGATCCCTAATTAAAAAGGAATACTTTATATAAGAAATATATTATATTTAGATTATTTATAAAATTGTATTATCTTTAAATATGGAGTAACATTACAAATTTAACATAATTGAGTAGTTTAAAATTTAATAATTCGTTAAATTTGTAAAATTTACTAGTGGAGGGATCAAAAGTGTATATCTTAATTAGGTGAAGGTTGAATATGCTTGGCAGATATTTATAAGAACCAAAATAATTTTTTAAAATATTTCAGGGACTATATATATATATAAATAGGAAAACTGAGGTGGCGTGCCTCTATAGCTAGTATTTCTATTTATCTATTTTGTCAATTTTTAGTCTTTTCTCCTTTGTGAAATTATTTAAAAAATGTTTCACTAAAGAAAATTCAACAGTCACTTCTTCTCCCTAAAAAAACGGTTACTTCCTTTAACTCTCTTAATTAGACCTCCATTCTCTTCCTCCATTTTCTTCTTCCAAAAAGAACCTTTGCTTCCTTTAATTCTCTTAATTAGGCCTCCATTTCTTTATCTCCTTTTTCCTTATCACTTTACCTCTTCTTCCTCCTTTCTCCACAGGCAATAATCAAGGTAAATATCCTCTTTCTGTCTTTTGAAATTTATTTTGTTGGTATTTAGTGTATCTTTATTTCCAGTATATTGAATTTCGGTTGGATTTTAGATTCATTTGGGTAATTATCAGTGTGCTTCATTTTCTTTGGTATGTTTAATAATAACTATTTTACTTTCCTTTTACTCAAATTGATTTTCTGATGATTAGTTGTGTACACTTTGCATCTTCGTCCGTTTTTCATTTGTTCCCTTCACATTTCCGGCTTTGCTCGATTTCTATGTTAGTTCGTTCTTTGTGCGACGCTTCTATTTATATTTGGTCTATGTTTCTTTTGACTGTATGGTCCTTCATATTGATCGATTTTTTGTATTTTCTCTAGCTTCTTAGAGTTACTCGACTATCAATTCTTACTATGGCTATGACATAATTGACTTTTGGGACATTCTCTAATTTTGGTTACCTTCTTTAATCAAATTTTAAAATAGTAAATTTGACTCTTACAATAAGACTAAAACTGGATATATCTATATACGTGTAATTAATATACATAGGAAAAAATAGGTTATAAAATTTGTTAAAGATATTATTCATAGATAGAATATTAAACTTGAATAAGCTTTCATTATCTTTGATATGAACGCAAGAAGCATTTATGACTTTGTTGGCAAGAATGCGCAGTTGCATTAGAAGCCAAACTACTTTGAAATGAAAGATTGAAAATATAATGTCTTAGATTTTTTTAATCACAAGTTCAAGAGTTCTATATTTGATGCAAAAAGTTGCTAAGAACCAGAGTATGACATGAAGCTACTATTCAAGATATGTAGTCCTTTGCCTATGTAATAACTTATTTCTTTTGTGGTAAGGCAGAGATAATTGTTGTATATAAAAATTGTGAGAGGCTCTATATTTGACATGATAGACTAAAACGGGACACCATAACACAAAGAAAATTTATCTTTAAGGATACAATTTTACTCTTGGTTAATTTAGTTACTAATCAAATCCAGCTTTAGTTGGAATTATTTTTTCCTATATTAATGGCTATTTTTTCTACACCCACAGGATTCAGGAAATTTCAACAATATAAGTTATTTCTCTTTTCTTGTGAGCTTTTGTTTGATATTGTTATATTTACATGACAAGTGTTGTAATATATGTGGATATCTTTTGGTGAATAGGTCATGCCATTCATTAGGAATTAGTCAAGAGAAGTCCCATTGGTGTAGAAGAAGTTGATATACATTGTCTCTCCCTTCTTCTCCTACATTCCCCATGGAAGCAATAAAAATACTGCTACAGATGGAAGTTTTTGCTGTTGTGATAGTGAAGTAAAACTGCAAATTATTGTAAAGAAGTTGGGGGTTTATGCTGGAGTTTGTTGTGAATAAGAAAAGAGAGTTTTATTTCTACTCCATTATTGCACATATTTGATTATTTTTTTTTTTTGTTGAAGAAAGTTCTTCCATATCTCTTAAACCAATTGAAAAAGGCATCGATTAAAAGATTATGATAATTCATTAATTTTGCTTGAATATATATATACACACACACAAATCTGGTGGTAGGAAGATTGAGCCGCCATGGTGAGTGTATACACGTGTTTTTCTCGAAAAACTATGGCTCTTAGCGGAGGTTGAATTAGAAGCTTAAATGTGGTAATTCTCCACTTAAGAAAAGAAATGTAAATGACATTTGCTATGAATAAAAAAGATACCACAAATTGCAAAAAAGGTATCTTTTGGAATTCTTAAAATTAGATATAGGAAAAATTAGAGAAAAAGATTAAATTATAAGTTGTGTCTGAAAAGCACTTGAGAATAGAAAATAACGTAAGAAAACATTTTATCTAAAATCTAATAAATGTTAATGTTTTAACTAATCAAAAGAAATATGGACTTCTTGAGATGTTTTAGAAGGCCGACTTAAGGCAAAGCAATCCGATGAAAATTTTTGCAAGCGATCAAATCTCTATATTGATGTTCTATTCAGTTAACTAAAAAGAAATAACTAATGAAATACCTAAGTAAGGATGTAATTAGTAATCACTAAGAAGACTCAAGAGGGTAAAAGGATGATGGAATAGAATTAGTTCATTTTTTCATTTTTAGAGGCTTCATTTTTTCAGGTAGCCTTGCAGAGGTCATATGGCTTCAAGTTGATTGCCACACTTAGATATACATCTTATCTTGAGTTCCTAATCCTTCACTTTTACATTGAAATTGTCTGCTTTATGTCCAAAGATAGATGCTTAGAAGAATAACTAGTAGTAACAAATAAGAGTGATTCAGGCTATATCTGTTGAAATAAAATTGTCAAGGAAGATGTTCTCACTAACAACAATTTCACAGACAATCAGGCATTTACAAATTTGTTCACCCCAAAGATTGGATCTTTTAGTATTGTGTTTCAGTGATTGGCACATACACATACAAACATGACAGCAACTAATACTCATGGATGGTTGGCTGTTGCAAATGACAATCCGGAAAGAGAGAGCAGGCTCCACTTCTAATTTCTGCAGGGAATTTCAAACATAGAGCAAATAGATTAATTTCATACAAACTGGATTAAAAGGTCAAGATGACCTCTATGATTTAAGAGTAAAACCACATATATCAAGTCACTTGTCCGAAGGTATCTAAAGTTATCAAAGCCTAGCTAGATAAAACATGTTGAAAACTTGAACCTATGCTATCACCGAAACAAAATTTCAAGGAGTT